TAAATTTAATAAAAATAATTCTCTTAGGTAAACATAAAAACAATTTTTGAAATAACTTTTTAAGAGAAAAATGGTTGGATCTTTACAGCAGTCGGGATTAATTAAAACTGGCGGCAAAGGAGAAGACTTCAAATCAAGACATTTGCGAAAACCATGACGTCATGCAGGGCGCAAAAAAAGGCAGCCTGATGTGGACTGACTATATACCACAACGGGACAATCAGCAATAAAAAAAAATGGAGGGTACAAGACGTAGAAAAGAGCTCGGCTTAAATGGTCTGAAGAATTTGCATTCGAAGTCATAACTATGTCGAATACTCAAAGTTGAATCCAGGAACTTATTGATTGAAGGGAATTGTTGGACAACGTTTGGCTCTATTACACACTTGTGTCATAATAAATATAACAGGGAAATATAAAATCTTTAACAACTAGAGAAGGTTTTTTTTTGTATAGAATAATTATATGATATGTAATGATTAATTATCATAAAATAAAACAATAAAAGGAGATAAAAAAAAGTTTACGATGAAATTTAAAAGCCAATTTCAATGGTAGGGATGTGAAATTAAACAGTTCTAGATTCCAGGATTAGGTCGCTCTTCACTATTGACTGACAAATGACATCAGTTTCAATAGTGAAGGTCGTGAATAATTAAAATGAAATAAATAAAAATAAAATCTGTACTACTACAACCCATGAAGGGTCTTGGGTTCAGTACTATTTAGGAAAAGTAATGTTACAAGGCCAACAGTTGTGCAGGGAGAGGTTCGGGCCAGGATGACACTCAACCGCTAAGTTTTCTCCTTGATCAATTAATCAATTAAGAGTACCCATTTTGTACAGGATGGGTGAATCCCAGGAGGTTCTCCCTACCCCAGGGTCGCCCCACGGCCAATGAAACAGAATAAATAAATTTTCTGCTAAGAGCCGGGTTTCGAAGCTGGGACCTCGATCACTGGAAGTTTAGTGCCCTACCACTGAGTAACGGAGTAGTTACCTTTAATTAAAATTAAAACAGAGTTTACACAATCTACTTGGTCAATTCTTACTTTATTTTAAGAAAGAAGTCACATACACTTTCTGGCCAGACACTCAATGAGCCAGTAGATGTACGCACGCAATTTAGGACGAAACTTCGGCACAAAATGAAACATTTTTATTTTTATTTGTGTTCCAATTATTGCAACTTCCAATTAATTATATACATTATTACTCATTGTAATGAAATTCATAACTGAGCAAAGAACACTAAAATACTAATTTTATAACGGAACACCACAAGAAAAACCTTAATTAGCATAACTAAGTTGAACACTCTGGCTGGATCCGGAAATATATTGTTATACAATATCTGGATTTGTCACCGAGTTGTGGTGCCATATTAAAAATAACTGAGAAACATCAAGAGGAAATAATAGAGGAAAATAATCAACCATTATATACTCAAACATTAGGGTTTTCTCTACAATTTAAGCACAAGGTATTAACTTATAACATCAAATAGGTTATTTATACTTCGATGTTTAGTAAAAATATTGACTTCCCAAATAAATAAAATTTCTTTTAGGACTGCTCAGAGCTCATCTTTATGATTTATTATTCCAAGATTACCATTCACGCTCCGACGCTTTTAGGAAATACAGTTTGATAGAATTCTTTGGCAAATCCCCATTTCCTTTGACAATTTATTATTCTTCTATTTGTTTTTTTCACTGGAGAATTTTACTTCCAAATAGAGGAGCGCTCGATAATTGCGCTCCTGGGATGAAATATTAAATCACTTATTCATAAAGTCGGTTGATCTATTGACTTCCCGAAGCGGAGCTCAACCTACTTTGTATAACTGATGAAGTCAGTTCTACCAGGGAAAGGTTTGATTTCTTTATCTTCTTATCCTTCTTTGCAATGTCTTTTTTACAATATATATATATTTTTTTAATATCCTAGTAAGGATGCTTAAACACTAAATATGTATATATATTAATTGTTTAGTATATAAAATTGAATTTAATAATTTTAAAACGCCTGTACTCCATCCTATATTCTAAGAATATAAATACTGATTACCAATTTGGATTCCACACATCCCATTCCACTATCCAGCAATTTCATCGTGTGATAGACGTAGTCTCCTCTGCATTGGAGCGCAAAATGTACTATACGGGAGTCTTTCTCGACGTTGAACAGGCGTTCGATAGAGTCTGGCACCCGGGACTGCTGTACGAACTCCGTAAATTCCTACCACCTACATACTATCATCATCCGTTCATACCTTACTGATCGATATTTCAAGCTAAATCATAATAATGCACGTTCATCTCTTTTTTCCCAGTCTACTGGTGTTCCTCAAGGGAGCATCCTCGGTCCTATCCTTTATACGTTCATACAGCTGATATCCCAACCCATCCCAACAGGGCCATCTCTACTCATGCAGATGACACTTGTATCGTATCTGTTAATAATGAAACTTTAATTGCATCCCAAACCCTCCAATCATATATCACCTTGAAGAATGGTGTCATAACTGGAGAATAAAAATAAATTAGAATAAATTTCATCAAATTTCCTTTACTCTTCCTCGTAAACCTACAACTTCTTCTCCTACAATATCCTTCAATGATATTCCACTTGTTCCTGTTGAACAAATCCGCTACCTAGGACCTCTCTTGGATAAACATCTCAATTGGAATCCGCATACTAGTCTGCATTGACAAGAAACTGTTCGACGTTCCCGACTGCTTCAACACTTACTGGACAATTTCCTTTTTTTTTTTTTTTAATATTCATAAGACCTTAATGTTTCATATGCCGCTGATTTAGCCCGAGCCATATACCTATTATTTCATGATAAACTCCAGTCCCATCCGCATCCACGTGTTTCCAGCCTTGCTTCTTCCTCGATTCCAGGTCTGAAAAGAAGATGGCCTCGTGATCTTCTTACCTAGAATTAAATAGAGAGTGCTACCACTGAGCAGTATCTCTTCGGTCATAGTAAAGTCTGTTCATGTCATTATTTCTAATGTGTGTATTTTTAATTGTCAATTTCATTAAATAAATAACAAAAAAAATTTAATAATTAAAACTTATATATAGGCATGCCTGTGTTTTTTATTTACTTATATTTAGGTTATTTTATTTTGTATTGTACATAGTTTTTGATGATTACTTAGTTATTATTTTAATTTTGTTAATTTTATATTTTCTGTATATATGGTGTGAATGTGTTCATTTAATTATCTCACTATAATTATTGTCGACGTGGCAGATTATTATATTTCTGAAAAAAAAAATTAAAATGTAATAGATAAAAGAATTATATATATATATATATATATATATATATATATATATATATATATATATATATACAGAGAGAGAGAGAGAGAGAGGAGAGAGTGGGAGGAGAGAGAAAGAGAGAGAACCAATCCATTTGTACATCCTAGAAGCTCTTTATAAATTATAAAGTCAACCCATAATGTCATTCCAAAGGCATTCGACGTATAAACAACTAACATAACGTAAGCCAAGTAACAATGTACTTAATAAGTGATTAGCTAGTCTCATTGGAAAATACCCCTCCAATTTAATTCTTAAGCAATAAGACCCTCAGCTATCCTTGAACTAATTCTAATTCATGATTGTACTCGCTTAACAACAGTTGAAGGGCAAGATATTCTGCTTATTGTTTAGTAAAAGTATAGAGGTATATTATTGTAGAAGTATAGAAGCCGTAGCGGAATACATTATGTATTTATAAAAAAATGTAAAAAAGTTTTTTTCTATATCATTCGAAATTTTCAAGGTTTCATAAAGCTTTTCTCCTCCGTTTACATTTTCAATAGATGTTGGTTTATTATTTTCAATAATGAACCATTGTAATCTACGAAAAAATTCAAAATCTTAACCTCCCTCAAAATTAGAACTCGAAAATCGTATAAATAGTCTGTCCGCCGTCCGTGCATTTTCTCCGAGACCACTAGACCGATTTTTTTTTCAAATTTGGAATCCAAGTCAGAGGTCGTCCAAGGATGATCCCCCTATCTTAACATCACTATCGGCCGTTTCATTTCATGACGGCGGCTGAAAACCTGTGATGCTACGGATTGTGGCGCCTAACCAACGGAACCAATTTCAATGAAACTTGACTAAAGTCTTCTCCTCGATGCCCTTTAAATATTTGTATAGAACACACTTTAACGAAAAGAAGCTGGAAAAAAATTACTAGAGGTCGTAAAATTAATCTCTTAATAACTCAAAAAGTATACTCTTTTTTGTGAATGTTGTATATGGTTATTTAAAATATTTTTGATACGTTCTACTGCAAAGCTTGTTTGCAATGTTTTGGTTTTTAATATCCTGAAACTGTTACATCAACTGTAGCAATGTTTTTTTTTTCTTTGAAAATTACTAATGTTGAAATAAAACTATATTTAGGGCAATATTGGGAATAACCTATAATTTGTTTTTTTCTTATGTTACAAGGAAAGTAATGTTACTGTTGAAACATTAATGTGATAGCAAGTAATGTGATAGCCAACAGTTAAATAAAAATAGTTTTATTTTTAAAAGCTAAACTTGCGATAAGTATCCCATGGTGACCATGACACCTACGAACTCTGATCACGGTTCCTCTGAAAAAACGGTACGTTTTAGGAATCTAAAACACGAGATTCCTTTGAAACAATACTAAGCCGTTATGTCCTCCTTGGAATCTTTGAAACAAAATTAATTCCTTTTCGGTCCGTCAACTTTTGAAACCATCTGAGTTTCGAAAACTCTCAAGTTGTAGTAGGCATTTAAATATCGAAATTGGTACTCGTCACTTATTCATCAAATTCCCTTCCGCTTGATATCTCACTCATCAATATCCTTCGCTTATGAGAGTCGGAAAAGGGAACTACAGGAGTGCAACTGTATTATATAGTGTAGCGTATAATTAAAAAATAAAATAAATTGTGTGGAATGAATTTTGATATTTGTTTTAGTAAGGTAACATTTACATCTTCTTTAAAAAAATTAATATCTATAAAATTTTTATAAAAAAAAGTATATATAAAAAAAAAGTTGGAGAGAAACTGAACCCCACAGATACCACCTGACCCCGCATTCTCATTACGTATACCCCAGGGCCGCCACACCACTTTGCTGATTTACGGTCCCGTTGCGAGGGGCCAAAGAGGCGAGACCAATATCTAGGTTGGCACACCTGCTGCCTCCTGGGGAGGCTAATGATCCATGGAGCCTGAATAATCCACCAGGCCTTAGAGGGATTGAATATTTCAGCAGCCGATGATGGCAAGCCTGTCTTCATCTTGCTTGGCTTATCTCTTGGAACAACGAGGCGTGAGGGTAAATGGAATTAACTAAGTACATTTTTTGAGAGTCATATAAACAAACCAGAAAAAAACAAAACACTTTATCCACTTTTTGGAACGCAATATTTCCTAGGCGTAATATACAATATTTCCAAAACCTTATAAATCCAAAAAACTTTTTGATCTGTTTACTCCTTGTTTATCTGTCCATTCTTTAAGCACCCACCCAATAAACCTGTGTAACCTTATCATACCATACCAATAAACTTTTAGAACTGCTCACTTTAAAAAAAATCTATGTCACAGCCCCCACAACGAACGGAAATCAATTCTTGACGTCTTGGACTTTATTTAATGAATTTACCAGACCTTTTTTTAATTTGAATTTGAGTGGAGTAATATTCGTACATGCTATGCTAATGATTCTGTTAGATGAAGATACGGAAACTATAGAAATAAATACGGACAAGACAAAAAGCATATATATAGCTGCAAAAAAAGTGATGAATCGGTGATATAGCCTTCACTCAAAATCTCATCTTTAATTCCTTTAAACATAAATTATTTTTACATCGAATTAGCCTATTAATCATCTTAATAATTAAATTTTTCGTTTGGTATTGCCAGCCTTATTTTACTGTCATTTCAATTTTATTATCCATATTAATAAGGCTATGATAGGTGTGGATAAAAATATGAAGAGAAAAAAATCTTTATTCATATTGGTTATACATGTAAATATACAGACATTTATTTATCTATAATTTCATAATTTTCATTTGTTTAGATATGCTTACTTTTTATTTTAACTTACATAACTTTATAATTTAATTATTTCTTGACTGTCATTTTGTGAAAGAAGAATGTAATTTTCATTGTTCAGCGTTTAATTTATTTTACATTACTGTTTAAAATCTTTATTGTAAATCTTACTGACTGCTTTTGCCATAATTCGTAATAATAAATATTATTTCCCTTTCAACATCACCGCCAGTTTAGTGCCAAAGCCAGTTTGAATCCATTAAAAGGTGACATGCAAAGTGTGCAAGTGATTTTTTAGTTGTTGAAGTGTTTATTTCATATTGTATCAAGGTAATACCTATTAGGGATGAATGTGTTTAAACGGATTTATTTTATTTTTATTCGACTTCAACTACCATTTTGTATTATTTATTTACTATAAAAAAAAAATCATATTTATTTTCCTTTTATGTGTATATATACAATATATTGTATGAATATATGCCATATATTGCATCAATTAACCCTTGTACCCTTAAAACATGTTTCATTTCAATAAATATGTTTAAAAATAAAATAATTTTTAAATTTTAATTATAATGTATTTATTTATTTTTTTATAGTTAATTTTCTCACTACTGTTAGAAGTTTTTACTGAAATAGTTTTTTTTATTTATGATATTTACAACTGAATTAATAAATTAAATACATTTTATAACAGAAAATAATAACATGAAATCACTTGTTGAGAAACTACCCACTGGGAGCACTCTAAAAAAAATGTATTTACAATAGGAGATCTCGAGGCAACCATCTTCTTTTCAGACGCCTCGGAGGGTTATAAGGGATCGAAGAGGAAGCAAGGTTTGAAACGAGAGGATTCGAATGGTTCTGAAGTTTATTACGAAAGGATAGGTACCTGGATTGCGCCAAATCGGAAACAAGGTCGTTCTGAATTATTTTATTGGTGACAAAGTAAGGAGAATTGAGGATTTTACGAATGATTTTGGATTGTAAGGATTGGGTACGAGAGGAATTAGATGGCTTAGTGGAGCCCCAAAGCTCAACTCGGTAAGTCCAAGTAGTCATGTATATGAGTCTTTTGTAATTAACTGGAAGATTAGAGCGTTTGTCTAGTAAGTGTCGAGCGGTTTGTCCAAGTGCAGTCCAAGGTATCGGATTTGTTCAAAAGGGATAAGTGAGGTATTATTAAAGTATACTGTAGGACAGGTCATACGTTTCGGTGACTAATTTTTAATGTGATTCTTATTAACAGCTATACTGTTTTGCTCCTTCATTACAAAAAAAAAATATTTTTTGCTCAGATTCGAAAATTTCTATTCGCGTTGTTCGTTAGATATCAAAGACGAAATCTGGTTCCGTATCTATGTCTGTATTGAAACCCATGTGACAAGGATCTTATTTACTGAGGTTTATACAATTTTCTTTGATATTATCTTTTATTCAGTACCTATGTGTTAACGTTTAAAAAGACAATCATGGAGTAGAAAAAGAAAACAATTAATAACTAAAATCATTACTTTTACGGGTCGATCAATCCATTTACATTTAATCAATCACATAGTAGTTCCTAGTACCCATACCAAAGATCTCAACTATTACCAACCTAATGAAACTTAAATTCAACTAACGTTGGTTATCTAATCGACACTGAGGGCGAAACATTGATCAACAGAACAAAACTAATTAAACAAAGGCGAGAGTAGCGTGAGCAACAGAACAATTGCTCAAGGCAAACTAGCCGGAGACTATGATCAAAGGTTCACCATCCTATCAATGAATAGTTACTCGTAACTAGCTTCACGATTAGCCAGCCTTATCTAGGGGAATAGTAACGTCTGTTAAAACAAAATGAATAACTGCTAATAGGTAGTAAAAATAACTGTTTAATACCGTTTATATACATGACAAATGTTGGAAGCATGGTTGATAAACACGAAAATGGAAATTGCGATTTCTAATGAATTCTAAGTACGGAGACGGGTAATGACGTACACGTTTGGAATATCGCAAAATAGCCTGAAAGTTATAGAGCATGACAGGTGTATGTACAAATATACATTTATGTCACAGCTCCCACGACGAACGGAATTCATTTTTTGACGTCTTGAACTTTATTTAATGAATTTACGAGGGCTTTTTTTTTTAAATTTGAATTTGAATGAAACAATATTCGTACATGGTGTGCTGATGATTCGGCAACGTTAGGCTAAGATACGGTAACTATAAAAATAAATACGGACAAGGCAAAATGCATATATAATTAGCTGCAAAAAAGGTAACGAATCGGTGATATAGCTACCAAAGATAAAAAATAAATAAAATAATGAAGAGAAGGTTAAGGTTAAAGGCGAGAAATACTTTAGATGCTTGTTATTTTTATACAGTATTTTAAAAAAATAAGATCATGCCTCCTCTTTCGAAGATTATAATTTAGAAAACCATTATACTATCTACTGTACCTTATAGATGCGAAACGTGGCTGCTTTTATTGCGGGATGAAGAACGTCTTAAGGATTTTAAAAATAAAGTATTGTATAGAATATTCGGGCCGAACAAGGGTGAGCCAATCGGAAAACTTAAGCGAATAAGCAACGACGAATTGCGTGATCTATACCCAATCAATATAATTGAATTGATTAAAATCCGGCAAAAAAAATATAATTATGTTAAGTTGTTAACAAAACAATTTTTAAAAGTTTAACACGCTTTGTGACGACTTGCAAGCGTCCGAAGGGTTGAAGTTGGAAATAATGCGTTGGCTGATCAATGTTTAAGCTCATCATGTTACGATCCTTATGGCTTCGAAATGGTATAAAATTGAAATTTATGTTTTAACACTTCATATGTATCTTGATAATTATTATTTAACTACAGAACGACTTTCATTGTAGTTGAATAGTGTTCGTCGTTAAAAGTAAATGCTAGACAACAACAAATAATGTTCAAAAATACGAAACCTAAAAAAAATAAAATCTACACCAGATCTACACACCGTCCACTCACACGACTTTTCTACCTATTTCAGAAAAGTTTTTATATCTTTACATATGTTCATGCAGAAAAAAAAAAAAAATTGAACTACAGTTAAGCTGTATCAACGCTAATACTGGTTCGATTCAGATGATTTTTTTTTTGTTTTTGTTTTGTTGGTAATTTAATTACCTTTCAAAACTTTTATTTTAAATTTTACCGTATAATATATACAAACGGAGTTAGGCCCCATAACATTTTTCTTTTCTTATAACTTTTTCCCCTGAATTTTCTCGGAAATTTAGTCCATGTATGAAAACTGAAAGAACAATTATTAGAACATTATTGGAAAGTTTCATCAAAATCGTTAGAGCCGTTTTCGTGCTACAGTCTATAGAAAAACATGTTTTTCATTTATTGCGCGTCATCAAGCTATTGCGCATGGATCACCGAATTTCTGTCACAGGCATCAGTAGTCAAAACCATACAAAATAAAAAAAGAAGCAACAAAATCGGTTAAGTAGTTCCCGAGAAAATCTTGGCACAGACAGAAAGACAGACAGACCAATGGCTAAAAATGTGTTTTTCGGACTCAGGAGACTCTGAAACGTATAGATCCTTAGAAAAACGCAATACTTTCCTTATCTAGTATAGATTGGAAAGTAAAAGCCAGAACAAGGGACAGAGAGAAGACGCAGAACTGATTAGGACGAGGTAGCCAATCAAGAAGGGAGCCGTGTCCCGAATCCCCAAGTGGCTAATGAAGACGGTACTGCTCTTCAACGGAGCTCCTCATTGGCCGCCTACCTTCAGCGGTTGATTCGTCCTTCCGCTAAGGATCTTATTAATGGGTCGCTTTATTAAGTCAAGGATCAAAAATCGATAGAGACCGAGCTCTTCGATGCTGAGAGAGGGATGGTGTAACAAGGATAACGAACCTTTCACACAGAGTGAAACTGTTAATAAATTTGGGAGACTTCACCTTAGGGTGACCGAATAGTTGAGCGGCGATACAAGCGACAATACAAACACATAAAGTTCATATTCCATATACATAAAGTTCGCATAGTGGCGATATACATAAAGAGATATGCGACAATGAACGCTGCAATGAAAGATAAGAGTGAAGCAATAAAACATGCTAGCTTTCGTCCTTATTCTCGCAGGTGGTTTTGTCCGAAATAGACGTTCAACTGTTCATTACCGAAGTGTTTGATACTCCAGAGACATTGAACGTGGCTATAATTCAAATTACAGCCTTATGTATCAACGTATTTGTGGTTACAATTGCTCAGAACACGAAAATTATTTAAAATTTATGATACCTCTAAGAAGGTTACGGACGGTAAGTCGTTCAAGAGTATCGGGTAGTGACCATCTAAAATTGTTCCATGGCAAAATTAGATACGTTATAAATACAAACGAAGTCTGCAAGTGGTGTAGCCAACTTATCAATAATGGCTTAAAGCACTTGATGCTGCAGTGTTTTCTAGAGACACATAGAAGGAAATACCTACATACACATATACAGGCTGTCACAGATGATATATCACTGGAGTATGTGTTGGATATAAAAAATATTTTATTTTATAACAAGTGTTTGTGACTCTATCAATACAAGTACAAACTCTCAGCTTTAGTTCAGTCAGGCATGTGTTCATATGCCCGTGGGCGTCGTGTATTTATTCACAATTTGGGTGCCTTTTAAATATTATTATTATTAATTGTAAGATTCTACATGTGCGTTGTAATCATAAGATATCTACTATTTGTTTTGCTTTGTTGTGTTCTGCATAGTAAATTTTCTTTAGAATACGTGTATTTTTATTCATTTATGATATTTATTATATAAATATATTAATATAAATAGTAAAAATATTTGGAGCTTAAACATATTTATGATGTTTGATATATAAAAATATTTTTGCTTTTGTCTTCTTATACTGTACTTATACCTATTTTCTTCAACTTATAAAACTAATCACTACTAACACTAAATGGGTCAGACTCCGTGACTACGATGTATATTAAGCCAATAAAACGTTTCTATTCTCTATTCTACTGAAGTGTTTGATCACTAATACCCCAAACCATAAAATTAATTGTAGCAAAAGTCTGATTTATAATTATTTCCATATGAAGTTAACAAAAAAAATTATCTTACACTTTTCTTTCTTCCTTCTCCAATTCGTCAATTAAAAAAACATTGGACATTGATATCCATCAGGTTTTACACCCTAAAGCCCTATGAAAACAGACAACGATAATGCAACAAGTACTTACGAAAAAAAAGTTTATGATAATAATAATAATAATAATAAAACATCAGAAATTTGTTCTATTAAGTCGACGTTTTCCTTTAATTGAAAAATTAATCATAGCTAATGTTTTGATTATCAGGATGTTATGGATGAAAGAGATTTTTAATTTTCTATTATTTATAAAAAAAACAGGAAGTAATTGTCCCTCCAACCTCCACGCTTGTTCTCACCTATGCGGTCACCCTTAGAACAAATAAAAAACAAATCCGCTAGGGTGATCCTAAATAAGATCATTGTTTTTTAAACAGGAATTTCTATTTTATCTTTTTGAAACATCCGGAGCATTCATCTCCTTACGGTGAAAAGATCCTCCCATAGCCATTCCTCCTCAACATGAAACAATAATTAATAATCTACAATAACGTTGAAGGATTGTGAACTATTAAATACTTAAAGAGGATGATCCACCCAGAAGCTAAAACCCGTCAGCCTATACTGAGGATGCTGAAGGCTTAACTGCATTATTCATTGGCAGGGACCTGTAGAGCTGAGCTATACCTTCCCGGTTGTATCCTACGGCTCGAGCTAACGTCATTGTTAAAATTTGTTGGTTGGATGTTTTGGTGTTTTTAGGAGCATAACATCAAGGTCATCATCGCTAAATAAAACAAAAATCAAAATCAATAACAACTAATTAACAAAAAATAATAAAATATGCGAACTAACTTCAATTAAGAAAATAGGAAAAGTGGACGAGATGGCTAAACTAAAGCCTAGAATTAGGAACGCATGTATTTTACCACACGCTAAGATCCTATAATTGAAATTTTAGTTTATATTCAAAGACAATTATATGTATCCAATTATTCTAGGGTTTTGTGCTTCATTCATGTGCACCCTTTCATTTACCAACAGATTTTATCACAGTTTCCGCAGTAAATTTGAAGCATAGGAGAATTGAAAGTTCATCTCACTCCCTCTAAGCTTTAAATAAAAATAATAATGTATTACTACTTTATTAGGACTATTATCAATTGCTGTGCTAACATGTTTGCAAATATATAAGTAAGTAAAAAAAATATACATACATTTATTTTATGTAGTATTATATTGTTCGTTATAAAATTATTATGTTGATTATATTAATTATGCCTCTTAATTTTTATACATAATATAAACTCATGAGATTGTTTCTTTGGGAGGAGGGGAACCGTCGCCTCCCCCCCAATCCACCAAAACGGAAAGTCTGAGCTTATTTGTCGATTTATAAATATTTTCCGACGAACAATCTAACTTCTAATAAAGGACTTGAGAGTTTAAATAAGTAATTTATAAAACTCAAAAAAATTAAGCGAATATTTGCTATTTTAAACTGTTCATCAATGGGTACTCTAAATTAAAAAATAATTAAGGGGGAAAACCAGGCGGTTGAGCGTGGTCTCGGTCGAATCACTTCCTTGCATAAACGTTGACCAAAAACAGTACTTGCCCTAAATAATATTGAACCCAAGACCCTTCATGGGCTGTAGAGGTACAGGTTTTAAACTGTTAATTAACTAAAACTTTAATCGTTGTTCAGAAAATCAATTCCATAATTCTATCGTCAAGTTAACGAATCGGAGGCAGTAAAGACTTTATAAGTAATGTTTTTATTCATAATGTCAGTTACAAATGGCATCTAACATACAGAGTAATATACTATGGATTAGTGTTGCCCAAATGCGAGACCTAGACAAGTCTTGGTCTTGCAAACTCATTCTTGGTCTAGTCTTGGTCTCGCGCAAGACTCTCGTAACAGTCTTGCACTTACCTATTAGCTGATTACTAGACAGATTTTACTGTATTTTTTTAGATATGAGAAACCTAATTAAGTCTGAATGAAAACTTAGAAGAGTTAAATGCAAAAGTTTATTGGTTATACCAATTCATTACATATAGCAACTAAAATTGTCAAGTATTAGTAATTATTTTGCCTCAACTTTTATTCAAAAAATAGATTTTTTTTACCAGACTTGGTCGTGGTCTTGCAACAGATAGGAGGTGTTGGTCTTGGTCTTGCAAAGTGCAAGACCAAGACCGATTCTGGGCAACACTACTATGGATATATGGTTCGACTACACGAGTTCATTCCAGGTCTCCTACAGTGAAGAGTGTGACTTCAAGAATGTAACTGCGTGAGTGAAGAATAGCAAGGGGGTGAAGAGAAGTCGGAAGAGGACGGAAAAGGAAGTTATCGATAGTTAATATTCTTAAGATGAGTTCTGTGAGAAAGTGCCCTTTTGCTGAAATCGGTTATTGTCCCTTAAGTCTTGATTATGGGTCTTCTGTCCAGTTGGTACATTCTAGATAACTATTTCTAAGCTATCAGAGATAGCTTGATCTGGCACACATGATTCACCAATTGGCATATTTAACAAACTCAATCATTAAAATAAAAGTTAAATTAATATATTATTATTATTTGTTACGGATTAAGTCCATTCCGTAACTGTCAAAACTTGACTTCGACAGGTATGGAAGATTTGTTTTCTCTGTTATAATGTTGCGATAATCGATATATGTACAGAGAGGCCAGTGATCTTGGGATCTGTTTATGGACCCGGGAGGAGGCTATTCCTACGTCAGCGAGAACCGCGATCTATTTGCGGTCTCTTAGTATCGTCTGGTGCTAAATATAGTGGAGCCGGAGGAGCGGATGAGGGTGGGTCTAACAGCTGTCTGGAAATACTCAACTTGGAGCCATTGTTACGGATCTACTATCATTGATGGATCGCAAAAAAATAGACTGAATGAACTTTAATGCATCCCTCAACTTACTTGACATATATTTCAATAGAAGACTGTGTACAGAATAAAGAACATGGAAAGCAATAATAGATTACTTAGAACACGAAGTAAAAGAGCATTAACAATATATTCTTCGAACTTGTTTGTTTTAATATCATTAAAATGAAATCTGCGTACCCAGTATCCAGCCTTAGGGTGGGGCGATTGCAGTGGGCATTTATTAAAAATTAAAAAAAAAATCAAACGTATTAAAATAATTATGAAAATATTGAATGAAATAAAATTAATATATGAAAATAATATTACATAAAATAAAACACCTCAAGAAATAAATACATTTTTTTAGGGGGAGGGGAGATGACGTCATTGACCGGGTGCGCTAAATGTCTGAAGCCGGCACTGTGGGATATGTTAGTCTTAAAGTTTCTTTGAAGAATAAATAGATGTTTACGAAAGATAAATGTAAATTTTTATTTCATTCAACGCAACCAGTTATTATCTACAAACAAGAGATTTGACAAACGCAGATTACATCAGTGGCATAAATAGTTTGGAATAGTGTTGCCCAAGACCAACACCATCTATCTGTTGCAAGACCAAGACCAAGACTGGTAAAAGAAAACGATTTTTTGAAAAAAAATTTAAGTAAAATATTTTACAAATACTAGACAATCTTAGTTACTATATGTAAAGAATTGGTGTAACCAATATACTTTTGTATTTAACTCTTCTAATTTTTCATTCAGACTTAGTTAGGTTTCTCATATCTAAAAAATTACAGTAATATCTCTCTAGTAATAAGCTAATAGGTAACTGCAAGATTGTTACGAGAATCTTGCGCAAGACCAAGACTAGTCTCGGTCTCGCATTTGGGCAACACTAGTTAGGAAGGTAACCATAGATTCCACTTACTTCAATTATTTTTCGAAAATCACAAAAATTGTAATAATAATAATATAACTGCACCTGTCCATATGGAAATTAGACGGTGTTTAGGATCCTATAAACTACAAGAACTGGCATTAACCAGACATCCGTAAACAAATTAGAACTGAAGATAGAAAATAAAAACGTTCGAGGACTTTTTTCATTACTCCTAAAAGGGCAAAATCTAAAAGTTATTGATATGATTTGTAAAAGCATGCTTTTCTACAGTTGCAGTAACTTCGAGCTAGGACAATACACTGAGGAGTTATAAAAGCTTTAGTAGCATGACATTTTTTTTTTCTTCATAAAATCAAGTCCTTTAATTTTTTTTTTGATCTAAAACAAAATCGCATTTAAAAGTTTTAGAAGATGCTAGGAACGAATATGAAACGATTTATCATGAAAAAAATTTAGTTCTCCGAATTTACTGGAAGCATCATTTGGGTTTTGTTATTTATTATTCATTTTAATTTGCTTGAAGCAATATTCAATATATTTCCTTATTTTATATATATATTTTGTATGTAGGTATGACTGTATTTTTATATTTTTAATTTACTTATATTTAGGTTATTTTATTGTATATAGTTTTTATTTATTATTATTTAGTTATTATTTTACTTTTGTTAATTTTTTTTTTTGAATATACGGTGTGAATGTGTTCATTTATCAATATAATTATTGTCCCTGTGACAGAAAATTATATGTCTAAATAAATAAATAAATATATATATATATATATATATATATATATATAAAAATCCGATTGATATATTACAACCTAGAAATCCACACAAAGCAAAGGTATAAAACTAACAAAATATTTTTTCTGCCTTCTTAGGGCACATTGGCAATAACCTTTGGATATGGGTCAAATATTTTTCGACCTAGTATCACCAAAATAAAGTAGAAACTGTGACCAACGTCCGTCTAAAACTCGGGTCCACTTCGACTCTGTGCTCATCACTTCAAGAGTACTAGTCATTTGTACTAGCATTGCTCATCTTATTGCTCAGTTAAAAAGAGAAGACTTCCCTCCTCCAATAAGTTCTTTCGTTTTCTGAGTGTCCTCCACTGACTTGCATTATCGTTAATAGGAAGTATTTGGGTCATATCTGGGTTTTATATATAATTTAAAATACATAAATTAACAAGAGAGATTTTGTTAAACAATTTATTGAATGATGATATGGTACCTGTGACGGGGGCTTCGATGTCGATCATGGTCTTCTCCGAGCGGAGGAGCGTGGCTCCCTCGTTGATGATCCTGAGGGCGGCCGCTTCGTCGATCCTGCCCTCGGCCATGAAGTGCTGCTTCAGCACGTCCGGCCGCGGCTTCCCCGTCCGACCCTCGAACACTTCCGAAGCGGTCAGCTTGTGCGACGGTGGGAACGGGACATCTGAAAAAGGAAAAGAAGAAGAAATGTAGAGGATGTTAGAGAAACAGCGCTGACAGCAGCCAAAGGTTTGGCGCAATGAAAGTACTATGACTTTCAAAAGGAGGAAAGAAGAATGCAAAAAATCTGTACTTTATTCTCCTCTGCACATCGATGTATATGAAAGCAGTACTGCTTTTGCGAAGGGCAACATTCACTGTTTGAAATTATAAAAAAATACAATCCCTAAAGATAAACTAATTTTAGCCAATTAATAATGAAACAAAATTTTGAATGAAAAGCTATTAAAATATTGTTATATAAAACCGGTTAATAAATAAATTTATTTATTTTTGGCGAAGATGACGTTATTGTGCATTGTTTATTTGAAATGATCAAAAGTATGTCGTGATTAACAGTAAAGAAATTGTTAAACATAAAACTAAGAAAAAAATTGACAAAATGAGAAAAGAAGAAAACGATTTTCAGAGATTTTTTTTCTTGATTTTTTATTCATTGATATTTACAACTGTATTAAAAAAAAAAATTACGTCTAGTAAATTTGCATTCAGGAATATAATAACATGAAATCGCTTGTTGAGAAACTACCAACTGGTAACACTCAAATAATAAATTTACACAAGAAGATCACGAGGCCAACTTCTTTTCAGACGCCTCGGAGGGTTATCAGGGATCTAGATTTGAAACAAGAGGGTTCGGATGGTACTGAAGTCTGTTATGGAAGGATAGGTATCTGGATTGGGCCAAATCGGAAACATATGGAAAATTAAGGTCATTATGAATGATTTTATTTGTGACAAAGTAGGGAGCGTTGAGGATTGTATAAAAAGAAGGCAGACTACAATGACTTGTAGTGCCGAGTAATGGAAGTGACGAAATTACAGATGGAGATTACTCCAATTTGGAAACAGTTGCGGTGATTCGAGGAGCCCAGAAGCGATCTCTACCGAGAGCCAGGTCATCGGGAAGTTCCGCTTTGGCTACTAGATAACACTATACTGAGCAGATCTGCACTAAATCAATGAACGATCAATGTTGTGCCATCACCTGTTACACACTTCCTTCATAGATTTAAATATTTTTTTGAGAATAGGAGTAGTAATACATTGTTGGAATGCTAATTGCTTTCAAAGGAATTAATATCTAACACATAGGTAATAGGAACAGTTGAATAAATTAATTATTGAAAGGATATTAGCTTTAATAGAAACTAAACGTTTTCATGAGAGCTAAATAGAATTTCCAACCTAAATGTAAACTTTTAAAATTAATTTTCAGTTCGACAAAGCAATTACATCTTAGACGTTGAAAAATCGTTCTGCATTGTTTAAAAACTATTTTATCGGATTTTGTGAAGTGTGAAAAAGCCGTGTTTACAAAAAAACTGAAAAAGATGTGACATTAACTTATAATAACTCTAGACCCGATGATCAAATTAACTGAAGTCGACAACTGGAACTAGGATAAAACTATCAATTCCTTCCGATACAGTAAGATTTTAATTGGGCCAATTATGGTCGGTCGTCTGCTCGGTCCTATACCTTATACTTCTTTACAAATTCTTTAAAAAAAACAAAAAAAAAAAAAAACACATTGTATCCCATACCGACAAACATTTTTCAAAAAGTAGGTAAGTTAAACAAGACCCACGACCCACATTCTAAAGGAGCTGTCATGAGCAGTGGAGCTCTGTTTATATAGTCCACAATCGCAAAGCTCTAGTGCACCCGCTTTCCACAGATCTCGTCTAGACTCCACAGAAAATATTTAGATAAAATGGAAAATAACTAAACCTAGAGCTCTGTAGATAAAATGGACGCTATGGTTTAACAACCTCTATACGATGGGATTAAGAAACGCCTAATGGAGTTATAAATTATTTTTCCAATGTTTAAATAATGTGGGAATGGGGTAGCTCAGTGGCAGGACACTGATCTTCCAGTGTTCAAGGTTCCTTCCGGGTTCGAATCTCGGCTCATGGCAGAAAAATTATTTCTGTTTAATCAGCAGTGGGGCGACCCTGGGATCAGCAGACCCCAGGAGTTCATAGGGCACACTCAGCCTCTATAACGAGGGTATCCTTAATTAAATAATTAATTAAGGGGAAAAACCTGGCTGTTGAGCGTGATCTCAGTCAAATCACCTCCTTGCGCAACCGTTGACTAAGTAATTTGGATTTCGATGTGCCTAAAATTATATGAACGGTAGTAGGTGATATGCCAGTTACATCGATTTGACTACAGACAGACACTGGACCAAATTTGATCCTTGATGTTTGAAACGTAAGACGCGAGTGGAAGTTTTCGATGATGAGAACAAAATGCTTTTTAACCACCCGCCTGAATACAAATCTTTCCTACCTTAGGTAGTGAGGAAGCAAAATACATTTAAATTTCACCTAAAAATGAAAACAATTTCAAAGCTCAGCACGTTATAGGATTTAAAAAGTATATAAATAGCTAATCAAAGATGACCTCAGATTATTGTTAATTAAAATATAGAATAATAATTTTAACGTAAACAATGAATATGTTGAATATCCCGTGAATTCTAGGTACTATGTCAGCTAGGAGAAAACACATGCCGCGATTTCTCCAGAGATCGCATCCAATAAAGGAGAAATACCTGGAAAACAAATACGAAGCCGCAATAAAACAAAAGGGGGGTGAGGAAAGAATTCCACGAGAATCCGAGAGGGATTTCTCGATTCGGATAGCAATGCAGAATACATGGCTAGGGTACAGAACAGCGATATAAGAAAGTCAGCGAATTGAAAAAAGGTTACCTAACATATCACGGATGAAAATTCATAAAATAATTGTTACATGGGAATGTTAATTCACAAGTACAATAGAAATATTTCTATTTAGAAATAGGTAATTATTTAAAAAATACATAAATAAAAAATATTCAATTAATCATATATTTTTTATAAACACCCATCTTTATATCAAAACCGAAAAACAGAATGTCGATTATCTTCGGAAAATAAATATTATTTCTAGTAATATTTTTGGATTTATCGTGATTAAGTCGAATTTTCTAAAGTTTGAACCGGTCTTGTAACTTAAGTAAGTGATGTTAAGGGAGTGAGGCCCGTTATGAGTAGGATTTTGACGTTTTGTCAGAATTACCGCAGGACGAGGTAAAGTTACGTACTTAAAAGTAAAATAAACAATTAAATAATAAATTAAATGAGTGACTTCAAATCAAAGATGGACACCTGAAATTTTTACAAATTTAAGAAGAGCTATTGTAACATAGGTTCAATTTAGACCAATTCTAACGATTATATCTCACGATTTAATTTGAACCTTCTAAAAAAAAGTTAACATAAACAGTTTGAGTTGAACCTATAAAACTAAAATTGACTTTTCCCCTACTTTCTGAAAATGACAGACGTCCGTCTTTGATATGAAGCCACTCAGATAAAGTCAATTCAATTAAATTTTAAAAAAATGGCATTTTTTATTTTTTATTTGAGCTTTAAATCAATTTGTTTTTTTTTTTATTCTTTAAATTCTGAAAAAATAATGCTATAAGAAAATATTCTATTCACTATGAGCCCAAATTGAAATATTTTATGATTTTTCTATTAATCGAATACTCAACGAAACGAACGAAAAAAAACAGATGCTTTATAAATTATAAAGAGTATTATTTTCCATGTTTGTCCCCGATTACCGCTACCATATCTTGCTTAAGGAAGGGAAAGGGGAAGAGCATAGGTACAATCAAATATCTGTAAACCAAACCAAAATATGAAGCGTTTCCGTGGGTCCACCACGAAATAATTTTCAAAACGAACAAAACACCAAACCCATTTGGCCATCAAAGCTTCGATGCAATATCGTATTGTATTACTCAAGACGTTTCTGAAAGATTATTTGTTCCTTAGAATTTCCACCTCTCTCGATGACTAGGAACTAGGAAGTCTAACGCTACCTAGACTATTCTAGACCTTGGCCTAGAAGTGGGTAATGATTGCAACCTAAGGGGCCAATAATTAATGGTCCACTTGCTCCGGTCCTCAGTCAGCCTTATAAAGCTGCCTTCTCCAAGGTTCCAAGGTCTCCCCTCTGATAGCTCATCTAGGAGAATGGCTTCTTAAAGAGAGGGTAGATAGTTTTCCGTAGAGTCGAGAGACTGCAAAAGATGGAGAATCCATCATTAAGCTCGTACGAGATCTAGGGGACCTACAAATTCAACTGATGGTACAATAGGGATTAAATCCGACATTTCATACCTACAATGTCGTTATGTACTGCACCTAGCGAACGGAAAACGGACCAATACAGAATTTTTAATCGCAGCAAAGTAGCATTCCTGACTCAACTTATTTAACACCCCCATACCAGACTGAAACGACTAGAAACCGCCCGACGTTTTCGACTACTGCAGCGCTTACTAGACAAACGATCTAAGCTTTCAATCAATTATAAACGACTCGTATATATGACAATAATAAGACCTATTTGGACTTACGGAATTGAGCTTTGGGGCTCCACTAAACCATCGAATTCCTCTCGTATCCAATCCTTACAATCCAAAATCCTTCGTAAAATCCTCAACGCTCCTTACTTTGTCACAAATAAAATCATCCATAAAGACCTTAATGTTCCATATGTTTCCGATCTGGCCCAATCCAGATACCTTTCCTTCCATAACAAACTGCAGAATCATCCGAATCCTCTCGTTTCAAACCTTGCTTCCTCCTCGATCCCTGATAACCCTCCGAGGCGTCTGAAAAGAAGATGGCCTCGGGATCTTCTAATATAGAACTTTAATTTGAGTTCTACCAATGGGTAGTTTCTCTTCATGTTGTACATGCCATGTTACAAATTTCTCATTTACTTATTGTATTCTCTATGTAATACAGTTGTAAATTTCATTGAAATAATAAAAAAAAAAAAAAAAAAAACTTATTTAACATACAATATCTATACTAGTGTTGCTCAAAATCGAACCGAAGAACTTTTGCAAGATTAGTAAAAAAAAAAAAA